TGAACTGCGCGCGTGCACGAGGACGCCGCCGGCCCCGTTCCAACCGAACCGGTTGGAACGGGATTAGCAACCCACCCCTGGGGTGCGCGCACACTTTTGGCACACAACGATAAAAAGATGGCTAACCATCTGCTCTAATCAATGGCAATATTTTCTTGACAGTAGTCCACATGTTCCCATGGATCTTTGTTCTTCTGTGCAAGCAAAACTTTTTATTCTAAAGATTTTATTTTGGCTTTATACAGAGAGGTTCCTTAGCAATTTTCTTAGTTTCATCATCTGTCTAGCTCTTGGGATGACACCATCCGCTTTTCATTTGCATTTCTTCTTGTGAACACCAAGCGCTGCGTCACCTGTGCAGAGGCATAAAAGGGAAACAAAAATAGGGAAAAAAAGGAATAATGAAGATTTAACCACAACATAGTTTTGCTGTCTGCCAAAGAGGTGTGTCACTACCTGAAGAATTGGCAAATGACAGCTACTGAACAAAATTTGGCAGTGCTGCTGACTTTCATATGTGATGAAAATGAATTTTTTTTCAATGAAAAATTGGGAAATGGGACTCAGTAAATAGAGAATAATATTCTTACCTCTGCTCACTTCTCAGCATGATCTGTGAATGGAGAGCTAAGCATTTGTTTGGTTTAGCATGATGTGTGAATCTACCCATTATGTCTAGGGATTATCTGTAAACAATACCAGTATTGGATTGCTCAACAAATCCTGGCTTAGTATTATATGCAAATAAGAGAATTGAGCCTGCAGCAAAAGAAATAATTTACTAGGAAAAGGACCTTCTGTTACACACAAATAGCCAACTCTTGGCTGAGAATTAAACCACTTTCCCAGAGTATCTCTGGTTTGATACACCAGGGGACTCCAATCTAGATCTCAGAACTTTCTACTTTTATGCTGATTAGCCTATTTATTTATTCAGCCCAGCCAAGTCTTATTTTCATACGCTAAGTAATAGACAGCACAGGAATATTTTCTATTCTTGAAGAATATACTTATCATAGCCTGCTAATTTTTAAACTCTCATTTTCTAATGAATGTACAAATCAAGCCGCATCTGAAAAACAATGACAAACGGACAGAATACTGGATCAAAACATATTCAAAGAGATACGTAAATGTGTTCTGATAAGTTCAAAGGATTTCTTTGTAAAAGCAGACTCACCCCAAATCATGCGGTTGAGAAATCTTCCTAACATGTAGTAGAAGAAAAGAGTGACAACAGCAATCCCTGCAAACGCTATCATGCCAACTGGACTTAAAAACTTGAAGATAGGATATAGCCATTTTCCTGTTTTAGCAAAAAAGTAGAAGATCCTGGAAAGAGAATTAATTTCTTTCAGTTAGGATGTCTCATTATGAAACAAACAAGACCAAATGGTTCAAGTTTAATTATAATTAGAATACCGTATATACTCGAGTATA